AGGACGAAGATGCTGTCCCTGACATTGCAAACCGCTCCGTGGATTTCAGCCGGGGAGAGTTGGCGGCCTGTTCAGAAGAGGCGCCGAAATGAAATAATCCATTTATCAAGGTGCCTTTTGTTTCGAGAAAAAAGCAGCGACGCGGCATATTTAGCGGAGAGGGGCACCCTGCGTCCGGCGAGCGTCAATAAATCACGCAGGGGAGGAGGCGCCCAGGCCCTCGGGTGGCTTCCACGGGAGCTGCAGCACGGGGAGCAAAGCACCCACGTGGTTTCCTTGGGGTGCGTGGGGGTGTCTGATGTGGGGGACCCCGAGATACAGGCCCAGCAGAGGGAAGCACCGCTGCGGTTTCCACGGGATGCGTGGGGGTGTCTGATGTGGGGGACCCCGAGACACAGGCCCATTGGAGGGAGCATCCCCACGGTTTCCTCGGGGTGCGTGGGGGTGTCTGATGTGGGGACACCCGAGACACAGGCCCAGCGGAGGGAAGCATCCCTTGGGTTCCTTGGGGTGCGTGGGGGTGTCTGATGTGGAGACACCCGAGACACAGGCCCAGCAGAGGGAAGCACCCCACAGGTTCCTTGGGGTGTGTGGGAGTGTCTGATGTGGGGGACCCCGAGATACAGGCCCAGCAGAGGGAAGCACCGCCGCGGTTTCCTTGGGGTGCGTGGGGGTGTCTGATGTGGGGACATCTGAGTCACAGGCCCAGTGGAGGGAAGCACCCCGCGGGTTCCTCGGGGTGCATGGGGGTGTCTGATGTGGGGACACCCGAGACACAGGCCCAGCGGAGGGAAGCACCCCACGGGTTCCTCAGGGTGCGTGGGGGTGTCTGATGTGGGGACACCCGAGACCCAGGCCCAACGGAGGGAAGCACCCCACGGGTTTCTCAGGGTGCGTGGGGGTGTCTGATGTGGGGACACCCGAGAACAGGCCCAGAGTGCCTGGGACTCATGCTTGCTGACGCTCCCCCTTGAGCCAGATGTTTCTCTCATCCAGTTTTTCTTTGGCGAATTATGGGCATCACCGATTCTCCTTCACCTCTCCGTACCCTTAAAACCTTTTCCCTCTAACAGATGAACGTGATCGAAATAACGGTGATGACAGTGTTACTGTTGCCAGATACATCCTCCTCCTCAGGAGTAGCAGTATTATTGCAGCAACAGAAACTCCTCTCAGTTGTTAGGCTGAACCGACATGCTGGGCAGCTTGCTTGTTGCCGGACGGGAGGCGGCTCGGGTATGATTTCCATGATCAAGATGAGGATCCCAGCCCTGGCTGGTGTGGTTCGGTGGTTAGCGTGTCAGCCCGCACACAGAAGGGTTACGGGTTCGATTCCTGGACAAGGGCACGGACCTGGGCTGCAGGTTCCATCCCCCACCCCAGTTGGGGTCGTGCTGGAGGCAGCCACTCGACGTGTCTCTCCCATCAATGTCCCGCTCCCTCTGCCTCTCTCCTTCCCACTCTCTCTAAAAATCAGTGGGAAAACATATCCTCGGGTGAGGATTAACAAAAATAGACAGGATGAGGATTCTGAAGCTTATACGTTTAAGGTATTAGTAAAAAACAAAAACAAAACCCTATCTGGTTTCCGTGCATCGGAGACATGGATCCGTTTTATTTTGTTGGATTCTTGGGGTGACCTTGATGGATAACAGGGTTTCACGGGCAGTGTCCTGTGCTCACCACCCAAAGTCCAGTCTCCTCCGTCACCGTGTACTTGACCTCTTTACCCTCTTATCCATCCCCCCGGGGACCACCACTCTCTCGTCCTGTCTGTGAGTTTGTCTTTATTTATTTGTTGTTTTCAATTTTAACTTTTTTTTTTCTAATGTATTGATTTGAGAGACAGAGAGAGAGAGAAACATCCATTTGTTGTTCCATTTATTCGTGCATTCATTGGTTGATTCCTGTATGTGCCCTGACCAGGGATCGAACCGGCAACCTCGGCGTATTGGATGACATTCTAACTAACTGAGCTACCCGGCCAGGGCTGTTGCTTTCAGTTTTATACCCCCTCACAGGAGTGAAATCATATGGTTCTTCTTGTCTAACTCAGCTCACGTAGCATGATGCTCGCACGGTCCGTCCGTGTTGTCACAGAGGGCAGCTCTCGCCCTTTTTCATGGCTGAGTAGTATTCCACAGCATACATGCAGCACATCTCGTTGTTGTCTTTGTCTGACTTCAGGAACACCCTGAGCCCTAGGATGCTCGTCCTCCCCTGGGCTGGGGATGGTTTAGTCAAACTACTTCCTCTGTGACAACCGCTGTCCCTCCGACCGCCACTGAACACCTTCTGTGTGAGTCCGCTGAGCTCTGGCTTCTCAGCCTTGGCACTGTCGAGGTTTGGGTGGGACACTTTTCGGTGGTGGGGCCTATCCTGGGCACAGCAGGGTGTTGGCAGCATCACTGCCCTCTGCCCTCTGGATGCCAAGCACCCCTTCCTCCCCTCCTTGTGAGCATCCTTTGTGGAGAAGCACTGACTTAGACTAGTCATTCCACCACAACCTCTCCTGCTGACCCCGTCCAGGGCGAGAGCTGGCCCAGCCCACCTTTCCTGGTGGGCTCCCCACCCGCACGCCCCAGGGCACAAGCCTGCACTGACCCTTGCTCCGGCCCCCTCCCAGCTCTTCCCAGTCCCTCGTCGGCCCCATCCTTCCCATCGCAGCTCAGACAGAACCAGCCCTGAGACGCCGCACGTCCCAGATTGAGTGTCCCGATGGCAGCGATGCGTTACCTGGGCTGAAAGGGTCATTTCCTGGTGCTACTCTGTCTGGATGCTCAGTGACATGGACGTCTCGTGGGTTCATTATCTCAGAATCTCAAAAACCCAATTTCCGGTAGCGGCTCTGCCCGGAGCCCTCCGGTGAACCACTGAGGGGGGACGTAGCATCCCCACCGCTGACAGGCAGCACCGATAAGAAACCGGAGCGGCAGGAAGGCAGGCGGCCGATGCCCGTGCTGTCAGCTGTGGCCAGATCGAACGGGGCGGCTGTCAGCGGGTGCCCGGGGCCCCTCTCCCGAGGTCTCAGGAAACCAGGATTGGACTTTTCCAAATCAATAATAATTACTCACTAATCCTGCCCTTCAGGGGGCCGTTGAGTGAGCAGATGAACCAGAATAAGCGGGCGGACATTTGTCAGTGCTGTGTTGCGGCAGCCGAGAGTGGATTCCTTGTAGTCAAGAGATAAAGTGTCAGAAAAGACATATGGCCAAGGCTGGTATCTACCTCTGCTTCCTTCACCCACTGGATCAGGGCTCCCAAAAATTGGGACGAGTTTACGTGATACACACAGTGCTGGAGACTGTGGGGGCGCAGGTGGCGCTTGGCACAGTTCCAGGGGAGCTATTTCATGAGCACATGGTTGGTGTTGGAGGTTCGTGGACACGGCGGAGGCTCCCCGAGTCTCACAAAGCCGGGATAGCTCTGCTCTCCTCCACGTGGTCTCTCATCCCCCAGGAGGCTGGCCCGGGCTTCTTGTTCCTGGTGCTGGCAGGAGTCTGCAGGGAAGGTAGTGGACGTGCCGATGCCTCTGGAGAACTGGGTTCGGAATTGGCACATTGGCACTTCTGCCATATTCTGTTGCCAAAGCGAATCACAAGGTTAGCCTGCATTCAAGGAGGGGTCAATAGACTTCTCCTCCCAAAGGGGGGATTGTAAAGTCACACACAAAAGGTGTAGATGCAGGAGGATAGAGGGAGCTGTACAAAGGTACTATTATATCCTATATTTCTGGTTCTGCCTACCTATCTACCTTTCTGTCTACATTTGTATCCCTCTACCCATTCATCCATCCATCCATCATTTATTCATTCATCTATTGATCATTTATTCATTTTTCCATCCATCCATCATCTATCCATCCATCCATCCATCTATCCATCCATCCATCATCCATCCATCTATCCATCATCCATCCATCCACCCATCATTTATCTATCCATCCATCCATCCATCTACCATTCATCATCCATTCATCCATCTATCCATCCATTATTCATCCATCCATCCATCCATCTATCCATCCATCCTCCATCCATCCATCCATCCATCATCTATTCATCCACCATCCATCCATCCATCATTTATCTATCCACCCATCCATCCATTCATTATCCATCCATCCATCTAACCATTCATCATCCATTCATTCATCTATTCATCCATCATTTATCTATCCATCATCCATCCATCATCTATCCATTCATCCATCCTCCATTCATCATCATCCATCCATCCATCCATCATCCATCCATCCATCCATCCATCCATCATCCATCCATCATCCATCCATCCATCCATCCATCCATCCATCCATCCATGGAAACTGAAGCTCCAAGAAGATACATACCTGCCCAACATCATGTGGCTGTCGAGTAGATCAACCCTACATCTCTCTATGGCCAAACTTCATGTCTGCAACCACTGTTCCAGACCCGACTGTCTTCTCAATAATGTCTGCCTCTTTTAGCTCAAATTAAATCTCTCTTGAACTGGGAAAAGTCAGAACTAGGTCCTGTAAGAAAGCGTGAGCAACATGCAGTTGGCTTCCCATGCAGGGTAGAGGCCGACCTCTCGCAGGACGAGAGAGCCCTTAGAGAGGAGGCAGCCGACGGCGAGCCCACCCCAGCTCCACTGCAGAGCAACAAACTCGGCACTTGCTCTAAACCAGCAAGAGATTGTTTTTTAAGGCATTTTGTTCTTGTGAAAAGACAAGAAAGTAGAAAAGAGCGGTCCTTGTATTCAGGAAGGGTGAAGCTCGGTAAGACAGCTCGCTGAGAGTCGCTTCCCGCCGTGGCCTGTTCCCCACAGGTGGGCCTCGGAAGCCTAGGGCTGCCCTTCCGAGCCCGCGGCCCACTACCCTCTCCAAACCCACGCGTCTCCTGGTCTCTCCAGGCGCAGGGGCTGAATGCATCATGACGAAAGCATCTGGTGTGGCCGTTTGTCCATAGGCTTTTACAAAATCCTGCAAGTCGCTGAAACAGTCGATGACTTTTGAGCGACCGTCTCATTTTCCTCTCTCCTCTCGCTTGTAGTGATCGAGGGCCGTGGGGTCGCCGACACCATCCAGAGGTTCTCCTCGCTGCCGCCCTACCTGCCCGTGAGTTTCCGCGTCCTGAGAGCAGAGACCTCCTTTCTCCTGAGGGAGACGCACCAGGACGCGACGCACAACTCCAGCCTGCAGTCCAGGGTGCAGTCCTTCTTCACCTACAGAGCCGAGAGGCCCCCGCTCTTAAATGCCAGCTACGGGCCTTTTTCTGTGGAGAAGGTCATGCCGCTGGACTTGACCTTGACTTCGAACTTCCTGGGCCCGCCCGATAAGTTCAGTCTCAGCTGGAGGCTGAAGGCCCACGTCCTTCGGGACAGGATCTACCTGGGCCGGCCCACCGTGCAGGTACTGTTCCACTTGGTGGGCCGGGACTGGGCCGAGCGCCGCCCCGGGGAGCAGCTGCCGTGCCTGCGGGTGTTCGCGTTCCGGGAGACCAGGGAGGTGCGGGGCAGCTGCGGGCTGCGGGGCGAGCTGGGGCTGTGCGTGGCCGAGCTGCGGCTGCCGGCCAGCTGGTTCAGCACCCCCGCCGTGGTGGCCGGGAGGAGGAGGCCCGTGGACCCGGCCGAGGGCAGCGCGGTGGAACTCTACTACACCGTGCACCCGGGGGACGAGCGCGGGGACTGTGCCGGGGGCGACGTCAGGAAGGGCAACGCCATCCGCCCCGGGAAGGACAGCCTGGAGGACACCACCTCGCAGCTGCAGAGGATCGGCACCGTGGGCCTCTACCAGGCCCAGGACAGCGGGGACCAGCTCAGCCAGCTGCGTTTGGATGGCAACGTGGCCGTCTGGCTGCCCTCCCGGCCAGCCAAGCAAGGAGACGTGGTCACTGCCTACATCACCGTGGCCAGCAACTCCACCGTGGACTTCTTCATCTTGAGGTAGGTGTCCAGACTGGCCCACGCGAGTTGTGGCTGCCCAGTGGGCGTCGGGACCGGATGCGTGGGGGTGCAGTCGCCCCTCGCCGCTTCGCGAAGCCGCGAAAGTCGAAGTGTGAAGTGGTGAGGGACGACTGTGCATAAAGAGCCTCCTGCTTTGCGGAAATTCATTTCCCGCGGTAGAGCCTGGAACCGATGAGCCACGATAAACGAGGGCCGATGTATGTATTCATGGAGAGTCTATTCTCCCTAACTTCAGGGACCCTCCTGCTTTACCTGGAGGCCAAACTGCTCGCCTGCCACCTGCCTTCAGCAGGTCCTCTCCCCTGTGTGCTGGGGGAGGGGAAAGAGCAGACGGCGCCTGCACGGGACACAGGACACAATGAATCCCTCTTCTGACCTTGAACTGCCCTCGGCCTCAGAGGGGGGTGTGATCTTCCTTTAGCTCCGAATTCTTTGGGCCACGTGCAGGTAGGGTCTGCGTGGAAGCACGCGGTCGGGGGTCCGGGCGTCTCTGTGAAAAAGGCCAGGGAGGGCCCCTGTCCCGCAGCCGGCGGTCAGGTACGGACGGTCAGCGGCTGGGAGACACCCAGCACGTGAGCCCGTTTCGGCAATGACGGGAGGGACCTGCCCCCCAGAAAATTATTCCGCAGAGGTATCCTGTCTCGTAAAGATAAACAGGCACTGCGTGGAATCCACAGCGGAATACCCCACCCACCTTCGCCCCGGCGGGCTCGTAACTGCCCCAGACCAGCAGGGCCGCCCTGTCACCGAGGAATGCGTGGTGTCTGAGCACCGTGAACACGGGGGGCGGGGGGCAGTGGAAGCAAGACGATCGGAATCGGGATCTTTTTCTATCATCGTCAGGAAGGACTTGGGTTGGGATCGCAGCTGCGCTCAGGTGCTTCTCAGAACAAAAATTAATCACTCGAGGAACGAGTCTCCCGGGCAGACCTTTGCAGAATAGCTTGTTGCAGCAAATCTCAGCCCCGCTGGACTTCTGGCCGCGGCCGCCCGCCCGCCCGCAGAGGTCGGCTGCTGTTCCAGAGGGCGGTCCGCGGTTTCGGCCAGTTGCTCCTGCTGCGTCTCGTGTGCCTCCCGGTTTGAGTCATCCTCTGAAGTGTGTCGGCATCCTGACCGTTTGTCTCGGGGTGCTGGAGTGGACTGATTGTCCCGGACAGACCCCGTCCCTGCCCTGGCAGTGCCTTCGGGATGATGGAGGACGTCAACGGCATCGAGTCCGGGGACCGCAGGAGGTCCCACCTCTTACACAAGAGGTCAGGTTCACCCCTCCCCCCGGCATCCTCGGTCCCCGGGGTCGGCCCGTGCCCCGCTGCCTGCCGGGGGCTCGTCCGAAAGGGGTCCACCCTGCTGCTGGGGCAGGAGGCTCACTATTTAGATAGAGGGACCAGGTTTCCCTTCCCGCCTTGATGGAATGTCGTGCTGACGTGTGTGCAACTTCGTGAATATACTAACAGCACTGAAGAGACCATTTTATTGTTATTTTTTTATCCTTACCCAAGACATTTTTTTCTTTTTCTTTTTTTTGCATTTATCCTCAGATAGAGCGAGAGGGAGAGAGGGAGGAAGAGAGAGAGAGAAACATCGATGCCAGAGAGACACTTACTGGTTACAACCCGCACGACCCCGACCAGGGCCGGGGACAAACTGCAGCCGAACCCAGGACTCTCTGGTCGCTGAGGCCGACTGACCACCCAAGAGACAATTTTAAACATAACGCCCCCAGCCCTGGCCGGTTTGGCTCAGCGGTTGGAGCGTCGGCCTGAGGTCCAGAGAGAACCTGGTTCGGTTTCCGCTAAGGGCATGTACCTCGGTTGCAGTTTGTCCCCGGCCCTGGTTGGTCGTGCAGGTGGCAGCCACTCGATGTGTCCCTTTCACGTCGATGTTTCTCTCTCTGTCTCTTCCTCCCACTCTATCTGAACAAAAGGTGGAAAAATGTCCTCGGGTGAGGATAAAAATAAATTAATTAATTAATAACCACCCCGCCCCAAGGATACCAGGAGATTATGTGGCAAAAGAACGGTTGTCAACTTTGAACTCTCCTTGCAGCCTCTAAACCAACCGCATGTTAAGCCTGGAACCACCCCCCCTTTTTTTTAAATCGAGATGATGGAATATTTTTCCTATCACATGACCAGACCTTGAGCTGCCCCTCCCCCACCGAGCAGTGTTCTCAGGGTCCTGCCAGGCTGGGCCTTCTCCACAGGGACGTGTGTGATGAGTGGACACGACCAGAGCTGGGGCCAGCTGGCTGAAATCAGGCGGAGGGGCCGAGTCAACGCCACAGCTGGTCCGAGGGCACGGACGACTGCAGACAGGTGGAGGGGCCTGAGCACACCCCAGAGTCTCAACCAGCCGGTCCCCAAACTGCCCTAGACCAATGCAAAACCTGGTGAAAACAGTGTGTTTTGTTGTTTTTTTTCTTTTGTTTTTCTTTTTCTTGGTACGTGCCCCTAGCAGGAACCAAACCCGGGACTCTCTAGTCCGCAGGCCGACACTCCAAGCGCTGAGCCAAACCGGCCAGGGGGAAAACGCGGTGTAAATAAGCAGGTTCTACGGCAAACTCCCGCATGCACGCGGTGGCTGGTTGGGCGGGCACACCGCCCCTCGGACACACGGCCTGCCCGGGGCAGGGATGCAGCCAGTGGGGGCCACGCCTTCTCTGGAGGGCGTGGCCATATTGCCACGCTGGCCTGTGGCGCATCGGAGCTGGTGAAATTAGGATGGTTTCTTTGTTACTGATGGAAGTGATTGGAGATGCCCGGCTGGTGTGGCTCAGGGGTTGAGCGTCAACCCTGCATCAAGAGGTCACCGGTTCGATTCCGGGTCAGGGCACATGCCCAAGTTCTGGGCCCGATCCCCAGTGGCGGGGGGGTGCAGGAGGCGGCCCATCGATGTTCTCTCTTAGCGATGTTTCTGTCTCTCCCTCCCTCTCTAAAAATCAATAAAGAAAGAAAAAGAAAATGATCAGAGGTCTTTCTTTGAAGCCGGGGCTAAAGTCAGTGAGATTTGTTGGGCGATGACAGTGTGCGGACTGCGCCGTCTCCCTGAGCCCTCAGAAAGGCCCTGGGAAGTAGGTATCGTTATCCTCACTATTGTTGTTTTTCTGTTACTGTTTCCTCATGTTGTGGAGGAGGAAGGGGCGGCATTGAATGTTGAGGGACGGTTCCAACGTCACCTCGCCAGTAATCGATGGAGCTGGGATTTGAACCCTGACGAACTGAAGGGCTGTAGCAGCAGTTTCTTCATAACAAACCACCCTGGAAAAGGGGGGCTTCGAAGCAGAACTGTGTCTTCAGCACGTGACGCTCTGGGTCTGTGGCCGGTGTTGTGCTCAGCTGGACGGTTCTTCTGGTCTTGGCCGGGCTCCTCGTGTCTGAGATGACCTGTCCGTCGGCCCCGCGGCTGGGAGGACGGGGCCTCCGGGCCACTTGTATTTCATCGTCCAGCGGCCTCTTGGGCTTGTCCACATGAGGTCCCGGGGCTCCATGAAAGAGAGTACCCAGAAGCTAGGTTATGGCGTAAAATTCATCCATCATTTCTGCCATCTTCGCTTGGTCCCAAAGCCATTCATGTTCCCCTCCTCATGGGAGGGGCTTCAGGGTCGCACGGCCACGGGACTCATTCCAGGGGACACTCATGGCCGTGTCTGCAGTCGGCCACCAGGGGTCACCTGGACACGGATTCACAGCCTTGGTTCCTCCTGCGTTAACCAGTTCCTGGAACCAGGGCTCGTACCTGTCGGGGGTCTGCTCCCTGTTGAGCCTGCACGGAATTGTAGACTCACCGATTTTAGTTAAGAATCCGGTTTTCTCTTTTCTAAAATCAGATCTGAAAATGAAGTCTACCTTTCTACTCCCCTAGTTTGGAGCCAACTTGTGGCTGCTTTGGGGAAGGGAGGGGAGCGTCTGTTCTCCGCCCCAGCCCCGTCCTGGCTCTGTCCAGGCCCCCCTGAGCCCCGAGGCGGTTCCACGCGGTCCCTGCGCTAGAGGCCCTGGGGCGGTGGACTCCGCCCGGCTCCATCCAGTTAATTTGTTCACCAGGTCCTCTGCCACAAACAGACCCGGGAGCTGCTCGTTTGTCCGGGCTCCGGGTCTGTTCTCAGTTTACGGGGTGGCTTCTCCCTCCGGACGCCGGCGGAACCGCAGGCTTGTGTGCCGCTCTGGTGGTCCCGTCGCGGAGACAGGTGCGGCCGTCCGGGAGCGTGAGGCACTGTCTTGTGAGGGCTCCGAGCGGCTCCGTGCCCGTCGGACGGCGAGATGAGCGCGGCATCTGGAGCTCAGGGCCGGTCCGTCCGGTGTCTCCCCGCAAAGCAGCGGACGGCGCCCCGGGAGCAGCCCCTGGTAGAGGCAAGGAGGTTCCCCGCGAACTTCACCAGAGATAAGACACAGGGATGCTCGCGAGCAGCACGGAGGGAACCGCCTAAAACACGGAAACGCATTTGCCCTGGCGAGAGCGGCTCAGCGGCTAGAGCGCCGCCCGCCCACCCAAGGGTCTCGGGTTCGAGTCCTGGTTCAATCCCCAGACCCAGGCAGGGTGCGTGTGGGAGGCAACCAGTCGATGTTTCTCTCTCTCCTCTCCCTCCTTCCCTTCCACTCTCTCCAAAAAAAAAAAAAAAAATCAATGGAAAAAGTATCCTCAGGTGAGGATAAATAAGATAGCATATTTTGTTTATGTTATTTTGAGTGAAATCGATAAAAAATAATTAAAAATAAATAAATAAAATGGAAACGAGTTTTTAATACTCAGTAGATTGCAGAAGCTCCCCATGCAGTAGCCACAGTGCCCATGAAGATCTGGGGGATCCCTGTCTGCCTACGGAGGGGTGCAGGGCCCTGAAGTGTACAAGCAAATGTCTAAAAGTAGCCCCAGGGTGCAGAGGCCTGGCCAGCAGGACCGTGCACGAGAAGAGCGGACCAGGTCTGCCAGCCCGCGGCCCCTCACCACGGGGCTACCGAGCACCTGGGCTGGGGGTGGAGGGA